TGACATTAACAGTCTGAAGTGGTTCGACGACCAGCTGCTATGGTCATTTCTTGTTATATTCTGGTGCACACCAATCCTTCTGAGATGTACCTAAGCATCTCTAGTGCGTGTTCTTCATAAATTTAAGAAACTATTATGTTTTAACACTGTGAAGCAAAGTGCTTTGCTCCACAGTTGCTAGTGATAACCCTAGTACCCGCCATGTTGAAAATAGGTCACAGAGTTAGCATCGTTATTTTACATTTAGTTTCTACAACATAAACAAATTAAAAAATGTATTTTCGCTTAATAAGTTCGTCTGCAGGGCAAACATAATTATTCTAAGGGCTATTCACAGACCTGTACATGGTTTTGACTTATTAATTTAGTTGAAGAAACAGTTTAGCATTTAAGTAGTATAAAAATATTCGTTTTTAGGCCCTTTTTAAAATTGTTATAGTTCTTATTTTACAAGGTTTAACACAGATTTTATTACACAAAATTTATTTTTCAACCCTTTTCTATCAGCACATACCAAAATTATATAGATACAACCTGCAAAAAAGAAGTTGTGTGCATTTAAAGAAGGGGAGGGGGTCAAGCATACGGAAAACATGCCTTATTAGAATCAACCTTGTGTGGTCATGACAGTGCCTTTTCAAAAAATCTGTACTGGGTATTAAAGGTCTTTCCTTAACATATCATGTGGCTTACCTAAATAATTCCTTTTGATGTACATGCTTTTTTAAAAGAATATTTAAAATTATAACTTTTCAAGAGCTAAAATGCTATATTTTGGGAAAAATTGCCAATAAAAGATCTGCCCCCATATCTCTAAAACTAATGATCCAAAATAAGAAAGCCAGTGGCTCACAATATCTTTTATGTTGATGGTTTATCACACCAAAAATTATTAAAATCTGCTGACCCCCACCTTGCCGCCTTCTGACCGATCTGTCTGGCTTTCTCATGGACGCACTCTTAAAACACGATTTTAATCCTTATTTTCATTTATCAGTCAGCAAAATTGGAAAAAAAACCGATGAAAAATAATTTGGAAAAAAAATATCCCATATTACATATCAAGTCTGTACTTGAAATGATAAAAAATGCCAAATAATCGGCATTTTCTATTTTCAATTTTAAGACCCTTTTTGAAACTGCATTAAAGGTATATAAAGTCGTATTTGTGTTACTTTTTTCTTCTTTTGTATAAATATTTGAAGTGGTTATACAATAACTTTCAAACTGCAATTTTGTTTTGAATTTACTAATTGTGTGAAGTGACTTTATATTTGACAATTTTTCACTCTAATTTTGAATTTTTATTTGCAGTCTATTCCCACAAGATACGACAAAGCAGGGCACGTCTTGGACGTGGTGAAAACCAGAGGTCCAGAAGCTTTTGAAAAGTTCCAGGAGGTTCTGAGGAATACAGAGCAACGGCACTTGGCAGCCCTGCTGGACAGGCCATCTGGGAAGGTGTTCTACACATCTCCCTATTCTCACAGAAAAGCACGTATGAAGTATTTCTTTGAAAGTTTGAGTTTTTAGTGAATATGACAGAGGAAGGAGTTATGTTTTTTGTAACAAAATGTAGGGGTCTATGTTCCTCCCTACCCAGATTCTTCTTAAATTTCACTTGTCACTGATGCATGGGAGGTGAATAAAACAACAACATCACATGTTCAGTTCCAACTCTAAAGTCTGTTTATTAAGTCCAAGCATTCAGCGTGTATACACATTGTCTACAGGGAACTTATCTGCACGCCACATTGGCAGCAACTGATTTAACACCCAAACCCAATAAAGAGGTGCATTTCACATGCTGAAGTGTCAAAAAATAAAAATGAATGAATTCAAAATTGTATTCAATATTTCAAAACATATATGTGTATAGAAGAAAAATCCACGACTGTCTCAACTGAAATTCAAATTTTAATTTTTTCCATGTCTTTAACATTGCGCAGAGTCCTATATGGGAACGTATGTTCCAACAACGTACGGTAACGTATGTTCCTTGCCATTTAATTTTCATTTTTAGGCCGCGTTCCTATATATTTTTATGTCTCCTCCATCCCAGTGTACCGCAAACTTTCATAGTCCCATTCATAACAAGTTAGAAGGCAACAAAGACTATCGATTGTTCGTGATTATTATATAAACTCAATATCCTAATAATTTTAACAATAATAACAATGTAGAAAATTGTTGCCTACAATAAATGTTATGGCCTTAGGATAAAAATTATATATCAAATATTAAATAAGACTCATCCTTAAAAATGATGATACATGTATGACGAGTCAGCAAACGTTATTATTTTCAAACAATTTTGCACAAATTTCGTTTGTGGGGTTGCAAAGCCCCACTATGAAGCTGTTATTCAAGATAAGCAACTTGTAGCTTAAATGTATTGTGCGCGTCAACAGAATGAATCGAGCGCAAAATGGGTCAGGCAGTGACGTCCCATGATATAAGTAGCAAGATGTGCCTCAATTGAGACCACCCCTCTACGGTAGAATTGAGCATGTGTAGAATGCGCATGTACTTAAATAAGCTCTGGAGATTGTTATCGCCATAAAATCTCGTTTGACTACGCCAAACTTTTCTTTTAGTGGTAAATAAGACATGGCGTAAGGACGTTTTTATAAATATTTAAACTGTATCTCAATGGGCTTTGCGTCATGGCTTATACTAGTAATGTTCCTTAGAAGAAATGTCAAAATGTTTCATTTTGTTCAAGTACTTGTGTGCAAGAGATTCAATATTTTCTTTTGCTGACCAAACAAAATATTGTGGCTCCAATGATAGTTTGACATTTCTGATACAATGTTTGGATCATGAAGGTAAATAAAAATGATGCTGGTATTTTCCCCATTTTTAAAATAGTATGTGACAAGCAAACTAAAGTCGCTCAAAATCAGTTAACTACTCTATACAGAAGATTATTATAATTTTTAGCAACGTTATATTTGTAGGAGATAAATTAATGAACAAAGCCAGTGATGATTGAATTTTCAAAGCGAGTAGAACGTTTTAGAGTTGGACGTTTTGTATTGTGATAGTAACGTATGTTCTTTTTGGGGGTTAAACGATGAATTATTTTTAATTATTCATGGCTCCAGGAGATTGAAACTTTTATAGGGCCTACAAGCTTCTTCATGTGGGACCCTAAAATAATTAAACACAGTTAGCAATCTGTGCAGTCAATATTTTTAATTACATGCTTGTGACATCAATTGCATCTCTATATTGGGTTTGGGTGTTAAATACTAATTTAATGCAAAAGTTAACAAGTGAGAGTTTCTACTTATCAGATTTAAGATATGCATTTGCCCCAGGCACACATATATAGAGAATGATAAATATTTATTCAAGACTGAAGCAAGGTGAATGATAATATGCCGACTGATCATATAAACATAATATGTAAATGACTCAGTTTATCACATGCCTTCAGTGGACCTTAAAATTACAATTGGGATGATTGATAGATAGATACTATTTCATTTATTTTGTAGGCTACTGTGGGCAGAAGCACAAGATTTGAAGAAAATATTTTTTTTTTCACAATATCAATAATCAAGCAGTCAAGATAGAATAGGAGAGAAATATTTATTTACTTATATTGCCAGTTAATTTGTCTGCCCAAATGCTCTATATAAAATTATTGCTCAAGTCCGCTGCTAACACATAACATGTTCTTCAGTCTTTGATAGGGTTCCTCTGACACCTAATACGGTCTTGCTTATAAATCCAAATATAACTTCAGCGACGCGGGCTCTATGATTTACTGAAGCCCCACAACAATACTTAGACTTAGTTCCTCCTGTTCAACGTAGGACATAGGGGGGCAAACTTTTTCCAACTTGTCCGGTTGGCAGCGGCCTTCTCTATCTCCTCCCACCTGATGTTGCCTCTTTGCAGATCATTCTGGAAGGTTCTCCTCCAGGTTATCCTTGGTCTACCTCGTTTGCGCTTGCCTACTGGTGGTACCCAAGTCATAGCCGTTTTTGCATGCCTCTCAGCTGGTAGTCGAATGATGTGTCCTGCCAATTTTATCAGATGAATGGTGACTGTTCCATGCAATGGTCTTGACTTTGCCTTTCTTATCACTTCTTCATTGGTGATATGGGCTCTGTATGAGATCTTCATTATTCGACGTAGGCACCTCTGATTAAAAACATCCAATCTTTTGTCCACTTTCACAGTGCTTTTCCATGTTTCGCTAGCGTAAAGTACAGTTGGTAGTACTACTGGGACTATGTATAACTCTGCTACCTGCCACAATGACTGTCTGTGAATGCTGCCAAATGCCTTTTTAAAGTCAACAAAGTTCACAGCTAGAGGGTATTGATGTTCTATGCATTGTTCCAAGATGTTACGTAGGGTGAAAATATGTTCGATAAACGATCCTCCTTCTTTGAATCCTGCCTGTTCCTCTCGGAGTCTCACGACTGCATTTCTCAACCTCTGTAGGAGGATCCTAGTCAGGACTTTAAATGGGATGGATAATAAGGTGATTCCACGCCATTGGTTGCAGTCTGACAAATCGCCCTTTTTCGGCAATTTCACTACCATGCATGGCAACCATTCATTCGGTACCTTTTGTCTTCTCCAACAGTTGTTTTAACAAGAAGTTTTAAAAGAAGCTTAGTGAGTGTTGCCCTCATACTGTCTCCACCGTGTCTGAGCATCTCTCCTGTGATTTCATCCATACCAGCTGCCTTGTTGTTATTTAGTGCCTTGATTGCTTTTGCTGTTTCTTCTGTGATATCGCTTGTTTCTTGTAAAGCTTGGAATCTGTTGTGAAGTTGTAGTTGATAGGCTTTGACAAAGTCTGGATCTTTTAATTTTAAGATGTCGAATGTTGGATCTTTTTCGCTTTCTTTAGTCTCTTCAGTTTCAGCCTGAATAGTGCACGCACTACATGGTGATCGGATCCCACGTCTGCACCTCTGCATGCCCTTACGTCCAAAATCAATGGTTTCCATCTTTGACTGATATAAATGTAATCAATGTCGTTGTTTGTCACTCCGTCTGGTGATCGCCAGGTATTCTTGTGAATATCTTTGTGCGCAAAAAAGGTGTTGGATATCGCCATATTGTTCATATTGCAGAAAAGGAGCAGTCTTTCGCCACTGACGTGTGTTTTTTGTGCTGAGCCATGTGATCCAATAGTTTGTCAACTCCAGTCAGATCTTTATCAATTTCTGCTTTAATGTCACCCATCAGCAACTTGATGTCATGGTTAGGGATTTTGTTGAAAGTATCCTGTAGATGTTCATAGAAAGTGACAGCATACTTAAAAATAAGGCAAACTCCACAATTTGCTTCTTCGCGACAAGGGGCGCATCTCGATTTTTGTCCAAGTACGCAACACTTTCAAAATATTTGAACTTTTCTTAACATGATTTTCGACAGATTTGTTGGCTAAAAAGAGTCCCTAAATATGTATATTATATGTTGTTCACAGGGCCGTAGCCTCCGGGGGGGGGGGGGGGGGGGGGGGGGGGGGAAAATGCCCCCCCGGGGGTTTGAATTTTTCCACACTNCTTTTTCAACTGTTCACAACACCAGTTTGGATGTGAAGATGGCAGCTGTATATCTAGTGTTAATGTGTGTGATGGGACCTCAGACTGCGCTGAAGGGGAAGATGAGAAGAATTGTACGTGTGGACAACACACTTTCAGTTGTTCTGATGGCACATGCATCCCAATTAGTAAAGTATGTAATCATGTCAACGACTGTCCTAATGGAACCGATGACGAGAATTTTTGTATTTATCCGCCGTGTAAAACAGGGCAGTACAGATGCCAGAATGGGGAATGTATCGACGAGAAAGACAAGTGCAACTTTTTTAAAGACTGCTTAGACGGATCCGACGAAATTCCCCAAATTTTGTGCCCCTGTGAAAAGTGTTACTCTGGCAAATGTTTAGCTCCTCAAAATGTGGACGATCGCTATCCAGATTGCTTTGGTGTGACACAAGAGGATGAGTCACTTTCAATGATTCCAGTTATTAAGCGCATGTCCTTAAATTGCCAAGCTGGTGCTTGGTCACTCCCTGTATCTCTGCCTTATTGCTCAAAGACTAATGAAATGAGATGCACGCATGAACATGTTCGTTGTATTGATCGACAACTGGCTTGCGTTCACGACAAAATCAAGCACGAACGATTTCAAACATGCAGAGGATTTGAACATTTACAAAACTGCGCTAGTTTTCAGTGTCCACACATGTACAAGTGCCCTGGCTCGTATTGTGTCCCACTTCGACAGGTGTGCGACGGGGAGAAAGATTGTCCAAGAGGAGAGGACGAGTATGGTTGTGCTAATTACACATGTCCTGGTGGTTTCAGGTGTAAAGGAGAACGGCAATGTCTGCACCAGAGCGAGGTATGCAATGGTGTGGTCAACTGCAAATTTTCTGATGACGACGAAAGGTTCTGTGACATAAAGACATGCCCCACGAACTGTGTCTGTAGTGGGTATTACGTAGACTGCACGGGAGGAAATGCATCCAAGGTACCGAAATTATCGCCATTCACCAGAGGCCTTGCTTTTGGGGACAACAAACTTCATTTAACAAACAAAACGTTTGCGAGTCATCATTTTCTTGTGAAACTTAATATCAGTTCAAACGAAATCGATATCATTCCTATCATGGCATTCATTAATTTAAATAACCTGTTAGAGTTGGACCTACGGGGTAACAAATTGTCTTCTTTGCAAGCAAATGCCTTGAAAGGTTTGTTGAATTTGAAAACCTTGTTGCTAAGTGGAAACCCATTATCTAGAATTTTCCCCGGCACATTTGATGGTGTTTCAGCCCTATGTGCTTTGGATCTTAGTAGGCTTCATATTAAGACCATTCATGCACATACATTTAAAGGCTTAGACTCGTTAAAAAATCTGAATATAAGTTTCAACAAAATATCCACGATAAAGGATGGTGCTTTTCAGGGTTTGCCCAAATTGGATAAAGTTGATATGTCTGGGAATGAGGGCATGTTTGTCGAAATGGAAGTTTTCGTAAATTTTTCAGCTAAAACATTAATAACAGACAGGTTTGGAATCTGTTGTCTCACTGTTGGGAAAGTAGACGAATGTTTACCTAAACCTGACGAATTTTCGTCATGCTCCGATCTGCTTTACGACAAGTTCTTACAAGTCTCTGTCTGGGTTATGGGTATTCTTAGTTTGGTTGGGAACCTTTTTGTTTTTGTGAACAGACTACGTGAATACAAAATTACCCCTCCAATATTTTTCATAGTTAACCTCTCAGTTTCAGATTTTCTAATGGGTGTATATTTGATCATTATCGCCTCGGTTGACACCCTCTACCGTGGGGAGTATTTTGTTCATTCCGAAGGCTGGACAGATAGTGTGTTATGCAAGACTGCGGGGTTCCTTACAATGCTTTCAACATTGATGTCTATGTTGATATTAGTTTTGATTACAACAGACAGAATGATAGCCATTGTGTTCTGTATGTCGTTTCGAAAAATAGGAATGAAAAGCGCGTCCGTTTTAGTGACAGTTGGATGGGCCTTTTGCTTTATCGCAAGTATCATTCCTTGTTTCGAAAATGGATATTTTGAGAAATTCTATGGTCATAATTCTGTATGTTTACCCTTTACTATAAGCAGAGTATACTTTGGTGGACGCGAGTACGCGTACGCCATGTTTTTATTCACCACTCTTTTCGCTTTTGTCTACGTGGCAGGGGCATACATATGCATAATAAAAACCGCCTTTGAGACTCAACAGCAGTCTGGACGTGAGGGTTTTGATGAAGTTACTTTTTTGAAAAAAGTGTCCATTATTTTACTAACAGATTTTGTATGCTGGGGGCCGGTGGTATTGTTAGGGTTTCTAAGTATGGCCAACGTGCCAATTGCACCACAAGTGTCAAACTGGGTAGCCGTGTTCGTGATGCCGTTCAACTCCGCTATCAACCCCTATTTGTACACACTTGCCAACGTTAAGCTATGTGGTAAGAAAGAAAAATCAACGACACGCGACACTCCTGTAGCCAAACATAATAAACAAAAACAAGTATCTGCAGACAAAGAAACAGAGGCGTGACCATCTTTACTCCCGCACTTTGTTAGTTTGTTGCAGAGCAACGCTTAAATGTTACCAATTTGGGTGAAATGTTGAGGCAAGGTTTGGCGAATTAAGGGCAGAATTAACTTTTCGGATCCCTTTAGACACAATATACCTAGTTTGTTTTGCTTATGTTTTAGAATTCAACATGTTTGTCAGTTGCAAAACAGCATAACACATGATCTATGAAGTTGAAATTTATTAACTGTATATAGTTTGATTCAGGATATATCTGTAAAATCATGCATGTGAAAGACTTTACTAGATTTTTTTTAGAAAACATAGTCTGCTTTTTTGGTTTGTACATGGAAAAGTTGGTAAATTTGGTAAATATTGTTTTTCAATTTTGTTGTGGCCCCGTATTTACAACGCGGCAACATCTACATGTATCAGGAGGCATTGTGGATTATATGTTGAATGGGACTGTATGTAAAGTTCAATGTGCATTATATGTTGTATGGAACAGTAAGTAAAGTTCAATGTGCATTATATGTTGTATGGAACTGTATGAAAAGTTCGGTGGCTTATTGCAAGCCTACATATATCATGGCAAGAGACTATATTTCTGATGAAATGAGACTACATATGAGTAAAACTGTATTACCAGTGTACATTATTTTGCCTTGGTCATATACAGCGACCTCTATATTTCTGATGAAATGAGACTACATATGAGTAAAACTGTATTACCAGCGTACATTATCTTGTCTTGGTCATATACAGCGACCTCTATATTTCTGATGAAATGAGACTACATATGAGTAAAACTGTATTACCAGTGTACATTACCTTGTCTTGGTCATATACAGCGACCTCTATTGTATTGTAATAGATGTAATGATACCTGTCAGTTCACATTGATATAGTTGTGAAACATTTACTCTTGAATGAATTTTAAATGTAAATAAAACTTGAATGAACCAATGAACTATTTTTGTCATTGATCATCAACAACAACAAAAATAATAATTGAATGGTCTTATCTACCAGTTGCAGGAACTGGTGTGAAAAAGTATAAAATCATCATAATCAATCCCAAGTACAGTGTGTGTTTAACCTGGATCACATTACCCAACAAACACAAATCTGGGAATGAAAAAGAACTGAAAAAAAAAAAAAAAAAAAAAAAAAAAAAAAGATATATAACCAACAATACCTGGGCAAAAGCACTGGACAACTGACAATTTGATTTAAAAATGCACTGGAAAATTTCCAAGTCATATTGTCTACATATCCTTCAAGGCTACAAATCATTCCCAATTCAGACCTTAAAATCCGTTCCACCGTTCCGTAATGGAGATAAAATGTAGATTTCACTCGCGAGCGTGCATGGCGAAAATTAGATTCAGTATAAAGGTTAGGAAAGGGTAAACCTTACTGGCAAAGGGAAATGTGCTTTTTCGTTTTGCTATTTGAAAAGTCCTAAACCCACCATTTTTCTCTACGGGTGTGATTTAGTACAAATTCTGGTAGGTCAGATTGATATAAATTGTGATAGGTGAGACTGATATGAATTGTGGTAGGTGAGATTGATATCAATTGTGCTGCATTTACACAGCTTCACAATAGATGCATAATATGCGTTCAGCTTCAAAGATTTGCCAATAATCGAGTTGTCTGAGGCCTTGAAATATGTCCTCTTCATTGGCGCTCTAATATCTTGTATAGTTTTTCTCCCAAAGGGTGTGCTTTAACTGCATCACATGCCAAGGAGATATTAATAAGAGCAGGTTCATCTCAAGTCTGAACGTGCCTTTCACCAGATCTCATTCAAACTGTGACCATCAGGAATAAAAGTTTCACTGCTGATGACAAATAAAAATAATTTTTATAGAATTGGAATGGAATAGATTTTATAAACTTTTTATCTTTAGAAATTACGATAAATTGTAGCACGAAAAATTCATGCTAGCATAGCCAGTATATATCAGAAACGTCAGTAGGAGTGCTAACGCATGAATTTTCGTGCTTAATAAATCGCAGATGACACATTAAATTCTGTTTTCAATCTTTTATTTATCAAAAAGCTTACACAGTGGCCTACAGCACTCCGAAGCTTTAACAAACATGGCTTTGGATATTACTCTTAAAATTTCAAACACATCTCTTCCAACTATCTTATTAAGATATATCACTTCAAAGTAGTCACAAAAATAACGAGTTTGGACAAGATTCAGATTGTACCAACAAAGAATCATTTTTAAAATATTTTCTGTCTATTTGGTTGGAATCTGGTGAGTGCTAACAGTTTCCCCAATTTCTTGCTCCATCACTCAAACTAAGCACAATTCTCTCATGAAAAATCTGAGAAAAATACTGTCTGCATTTTTTCATCAGATAAATGATCAAAATTATTCTGCACCCGTCCAAAAAAAGTATGTATCATTTTGTACTAACATGTTCAGTTTTTATAAGAAAATCTTTATTTTTCAAACTTAAAACTAAAAACAGACAAAAAAGACTGAAGCTTTTTTACTAATAGCTGTCTGTAGAAGGAACACTGTCCTCAGAGTGTTTTCTCACTTTTCAAATATTATAATTATTTTGTAAAAGAAAGTTGTGCTTTTACTTGTTGAAAATGAAGCCTTCCTTTTTGATCCTTAAACAAGTACTGAAGACTTTATTTCAAGCTACAATGTACATTGCATTAGAAACGAGTACAAGTACAACTCATGTTCAAAACGTACATTTTGATTTTTTTCAAAATAAGCAAAGAAATGAACCAACAAATAAATAATAAAAGATATACCTCTGTACAATAGTATTACCTTTGTATCTAAAACAAATTTTAGGAAATGAATCAAAACAGGAAATTTGCACAAATATTTTTAACGATTTTACACAAATTTACCATAAATTCCCAACTTAATTTGTTTTTCCAGTCAACAATTGTTCTTAATGTTCATAAAACAGATCTTAACAAATGACGACATTTCTCATGCCATTCCCGAATACACATAATTGAGCAAGCCTGTTGTTGTTTGCAACTTTTTGTCACAACTACATGAGCAATAGCAACAGAAATAAGGCAATGGATAACAATAGGCAAAAACAGTCGTCACAAAAAGAAATCCCATTCTCAGTTGTACATTTTTCTTTCTTGGATCTGACAATAACAAATGACTTCCAATTAATACAACGTGATTATCATCCGGACCAAAGAACCAGCATAAATTTCAGAGCACTGTTGGACTCTCCTATGAGCATGTTAGGTACCAATGACCTCTTCACCATTCTATTTCAAAATAATTATATTACTATATGAATTTAACCAGTGTTTGGAATAAAGTTCTGTGAAATTTATAGGTGAGAGAAGAACTGGTGAAAGAGAATTAGAGAAACTGATATAAGGAGAATAAAATGAATTATGCGACTTTGATATCACACACGGAACTGTTTTCACAAATACTTCTAACCCTGTAGTCATTTCAACAAAGGGAATTTTGATTTTTTTTTTTGTTTAAAGCTGCTTTGCTAACAAAATGATACAAATACAAGGTCTGTAAAACTCCAACTTTGTGTACTTCATGCACATGTATTCATACAAGAATGCTTATAATCTTTACCCACATGAAGTTATGTGACTATCAAACTGCGATATCTGTTTCAACTACAGCCATTTTCACAACCCGACAAAACTTTGACCAGGAATAGTCCAAATGACATCACCAGATGACCAGATCACAAATGGTCTTCCACTGGGCTTCTAACATGAAAATCCTAAGTTAAATGACCTATGTGGGGGTGTCAGTTAGTCCATTTCAGGTCTTCTTAGTTAAGTCTTGTTGCGGACATGCCCGTTGTCTCCATATATATTTTACAATGATAAACACAGGGATATATATTTATATGTTTATGTAATACCACAGGCACCTATGATAAAATAAAAAAGAATGGCTTAGGAGCCCATTTAACCAAATCAGTTCCTAGGCTGATCTTGACTTAAAGACTGAAAATTTTAGCTTCACCTGCCCCCCAAATGAATATAACAGTGAGGATCTGGTTTATAACCCCTCCCCCCCAATAGTATTAAACTTATGACACTCTTAATGAGACAAATTTGTGAATTGTCCATCCCTGTGTCTTATATTTTAAGGTGAAATTGTCCTTCTTGAATTTATTATTTTCAAGTGTGAAATGAGGCAAAAAATAATAATAAATAAATAAATAAATAAATAAATGTATTTTTTTAAATCTTTGTGCCCTTGATCAACCTGTGTATAGCATTCCCACTTGCAATGCAAAGACCCTGGATGATTTCACAAAAGAACAACAAAAATAGCTACAACTTTAAGCAAGATTTGCTCGAATCATTCAGTGTTTTTCTGCAATTTCACCCAGCCTCCTGTCAGACTTCATACTTCAGTTTGAAAACCAAGATCAGCCTTGGACCTAGTTTGTACTTTTGGAAAAACGAGACCTTGTATTATACAAAAGGCAAATAACACACTAGTAAATAACATATGCAAACACTATGATGCATATATATATATGTTTTCTCCTTTGCATTTCTGCATAAAAGTGGCTACGATTTTCTACTAAAGTCTCAGCACCCCTTCAATAAGAAAGTTCATATTTACACTAGCTTGTTTTTTGTATACAATCAAGCTGGCAATGCGCAGCACTGCATCTTTATCACATTCAACAGTCAAACTTGTAGTTGCACTTTTTTTTCTCTTTGCGATACACTTTTCACAATGCCTTGTGGAACTCTGCTGGACAGCAGGACTTAAAAAAGTAATCTTCAACAGAAATAAGGCTGTCACCATCAACTTGATGGGATGCTGGAATCTGCAGCATCATTATTTATAGCCGTGTACCACTGCCTTCTTCCTATGAAACCAGTATCTTAGAACTCTTTTTGTAATCAAATCAGAACATTCACTTCTAAAAAGTGTTCATGATAACATTCCCCATGCACATCGGAAAAAAATTATTTGAAAAGCTCACAGTCTATCACAATCTGACTTTTTCTCCACTAACATTCTACCAAGCATCTACATGGTCATGATTCCATACATTTGAAAGCATTTGAGCAGCCTCAACTACGGCTATCACAAGTCTCCATTTTGGCTTTACAAACGGGACATCCCGTCCTCATGTAATTAAAGCACTTATGTCATCAGCAAACTCAGCTGTGTCTGAAAACATTAGTCTGCTAAGAGCCTGAAAAGTTCCATATTTATCACTTTCTCTTCTGTATCCATAACTTTTGCACACATTTTTTTAAAGCAGTTATATTGTCAATTCTGCCATAACAGTGTGAAAATCTGTCAGTCGGTGATAGTCTGGGTCTTCCGTCTTGCTGTCTTCCTCTCCTTCTTTGTCCATCTCCGTGAATGACGGATTATTTGAATTCCGAGGCATTTTCAAAGTGCACGGCAGCATTTCCTTCATGACGCTTAAGTGCACCACAAGAGACGTAATGTTGTTCCATTGTTTTTCTAGCCCCTGGGGAAAAGACAAGCGGCAGTTACTGCAGATGCCATTTCATAAATGGTTGACAAAAAAAAAAAAAAAAAAAAAAAAAAAAAAAAAAAAAAAATCATTGTAACGAAAAAGAAATTCACACAGTCTCTGTGGAAATATATATGTCATGCACGGTGTCCATAAAATTAAAAAAAAAAATACATCAGTGTTTGAAGTGAATCAAACTGAGATCATCATGAAAAAAATGTTTTGATTGTTTAATATGAATTTTCCGCATTGCAGAAAATAAATCTTTTTTTTTTTCATTTTGTCTTATATCCACTTTTGATTGTTTATGGACCATCCTCCCTGTGAAAGAGAATTTGTTTTTCACTTTGTATCCACTGTATTGTAGAATTCTACCTCTGGGAAACATAAAATTTCTATCTAATCCACCACTCATGCAGTAACATGGAAGATTGAAGTCTCATCACCAAAACCACCACAAGTATGAAATTTACCCCGCTCCATTTCAATCACGTTGACATGTGCATGTGTGCACGTTTTTATCAAGAACACAAACATATTCTAATTTTTTTTCCACATGGGATGTAGAGGCTAATAATATTGATAATGAAGTGTATCCAACTCAGTCGTGTGAATGCGCATGTTTTCATGCACATGAGACATGTTCATTTTCGACGTAAGAAGGGTTTGGCGTACACCGTTTGCCCCGTCGTAACGTGCATGGAAGCATTTCTGGCATGATAGAGAGATGAGTAACGAGAGCGTGCAAATTGGACCACTCCTTATCTAGCCCCTATAATAGAAAGAACAGAGAAAAAAGAGAGGATATACATATAATATAATATAATATGAATAAATTAAATAACCAAGTGTTATAATGCAGTTAATTGTATTCTAATAAATTAATCAATAAGTCGGTAAAAGGGTGAAAAGACGTAAATCAACCGTGAACTAAAATTGAATAACTGAAATGCAATACTAAGGCAAAGGCATGCAAATAATACTATAATACTAATGCAGTGCCAATCAATGCTAGACAACATGCTCTACTCATTCCCAATATACTCTCTTTGTTACGTTATTGACTAAACTATAATCAATAGAAATGTCTGTGTGATAACACTTATTTCACAGGTTTGATGGTATTGATATTATAAAACACCTAAACTATCATGCAAGAATTAATGTTACTAGAATGATACAAGAGAGGGGAGTGAATACTACGTGTACATTTTAAAGTTAAAATTACAACCATGCAACTTTGTCAAGTGAGTCTGGTAAAAACTACACTATGGAGCAAACTACAACATATCTTTCCTAGAATGGCAAAAAATAGGTTTTGGAAAAATACAATATGTTTGGATTTATTTCTGTGTTTAGGACAAGGTTTGTCAGCTTACAACTGGCACCAATTTTTTTTAATGCAACTGTTTTATCATGATTATTTTAATGTCCAGAGAATATACAGGATTCTGTTAAAAGTTCTGGGTTCAAATAGTCGATCTTCACTATTCTCCCCAGAGTGAAATTGGAACAAAATATTACTCTCCAAGGGGGCATTTCATTTATTGATTCATTTTTTTTATTATACAACATAAATAGTTAAAAAGCTCCGAGGAACCCATTCTCCAAGCATCAACTAAAATGCCTGGTATTGGGTGCATACTGTGGGGCAACTTTTCAAGGCTAGAAGCTCTACTTGCTGCTCAGTTTCATCAGACTTTAACTTGAGGGGGGGGGGGGGGCTGTGTGGGACACGCGGGGAAGAAGGTTGTAGGGGACAATAAAAAAAGCCTTTTATCATCTCATTTCCGATTTTCAGCTAAGTTCTTTTGTGAAGGTGGTACTAACACGCTAGGGGGAGCTCAAGACCCCAACCAGGCAACACCAACAGCTCAGCTTGAAGCTCTCAGTGTGAGTTGGACTTCTGGCATTTATCTGGTAAAGGCTGCCAGCTGGTCTCTGGCATACAGGGATATGGTGCTTATGTTTTGGTAAATAATTATCTGATATTGTTTTCTTTTCTTAATGTGCATCCATAGTATTTCTGTTTACTTCAAACTCACTAAAACCAAAAGCAAACATGTGCAGACCCTGCAAAATTTGAATAGAATAAGCTTAAGTGGCAAAACTCATCTTAATGATCTAGTGAATAAGCATAAGGCAAAAAGGCACCAAGAGTGAATGTACAAACCAACAGAAGAGCAAGCCATGTAAATAACAACAAGTAATATGATGTTGTGAAGCAAAAAGAAAAGGAAACACTTCAAGACTGGTTGCCAGAAAAAAATCTCATCCCTGATCTGAACCTCAAGAAGGATCCAACAGTGAGGAGATATAATAAACAGCCTCTTCTGAAAGAAGCAACAAATGAGAGTGACCCATTCCCCCTTAACCTGGGTTGTATCCAAGAATACAGCAAGTTTGAACACTCATTTGCACATCTGGGTGAAGAAAGACTGGGGGGGGGGGGGGGGGGGGGGGAAATAAAGTATGTTACCTGAAGACACAACAACTGGTTGAAAGAGAAAGGGTCAAGTGGTGACCTCTATGACACAAGTCAGGAGTCGGACATTGCTGTCAGTCCAGCCATGGTATTTCATACATACCTTCAGTCGAACTCCAGTTTGTGTTCGCTGAATTAAATAGTGCGCAATGCCAGTTGGGTTGTCGAACTTTGGAACTTTTACTGAGAGCGCGTAGCACCCTGCGTGTGTGGTACTGTCACGAATGATGAACGAGCCTATGTCCTCGTGGTGTAGAATTTCCAAGGCTATCTCCCTGCAATAAAGAAGATTGTATATTGAGGTAGGAAAGATTACAACAGTGGACAGTTCATAAAAAAAAAGCTGTATAGCACTTAGTCCTTCTGGCTGTTTCTATCATCAGATTATAAGATTCTAAAAACAGTGGCTAGCAATTGAACAAATTTACCAAATTTTACCTGCAAAAATAGAACCAATACAGTATCAATATCAACATTCATAATAGCCAAGCCATCAAATACCTTGGAATTCCTGCCTGGTACCATGGCGCCATCTTTAGTGTTTCATCTTCATGTCCGGCTTCTGCCTGCTGCTGTAACCTCCTCAAAGAATCGTACCTGCAAAACAAGTGAAAGTTCAAAAGCCTTAATTGAAATAAAATAATTCTCTCCAGCTTCTGCATATAACATTTAAAAATACAATCGTCTTGTCATGCTGGTGGTCTCTTACAATGTCAATCTACGTAAAAATAATGATGTTTATAATGGCTAAAATCAACAAACTGTCCATATATATATATATATATATATATATATACTATAAAGTAAGCCTTGAACATCTGTTCCATTTGGGTTGTGTACATGAGCTTATAATAAGCAACCTCATAAAGCAGTCACCAAGACAGCTACTGGTTAGGAATAATCCTGACCTCATCGAAAAAATTCACAAACTCTACTAGGTATTCTTATTCCCACTGTTTAAACTTGGTATTTGCCGGAGTCAAACAGAAGCTGTCGGGGGATGTTGTACAGAGACATGGCTGTGTTGTTCAACTTTCATGTTAACCTCTCGTGACCTCTTCACACACTCAGGTCACATGCTTGGTGATAAACAAAACTTGCCACTGTCTAGACATTTTGAGTATGGTAATGACTTAAATTTTTCAAATGCCTCACTTTTTTTTTGGCTAATGTTTAAGCTTAAATTCAAGATTTATCATTTTTAAACACTCACAAAATATGTATATTCTGATTCAAAGCCAGGTGTAGTAACTAGTCAAAACTTTTGAATCAACAAATAAGGTATTAGTAACAAAGAATTTATTAGGAAGAAAACTATCAATTCATACAATTCAAATTCATCGAGCAACTACCATATTTAAAAGTACAACATAATTAGAAATGCCTGTACTTGACATACCCATATCTGATCAGTGCCTTAGATATCTTCATGGCATAACAGGCCGATAGCCAGCAATTTCAAAAGGGGGGTTCTTTTTTTTTTGAAAAGGTGGACCTTTTCCCATAAAAACTTCATGTACCTAGATCAAAATTTACCCAGAGTGGACCTTTTCCACGCAAAAGGGGCAGTTCTTTCGACCCCCTCCTCCTCCCCCGCTACGGGCCTGCATAATGTGACATTAGTGTTAAGGGGACTAAAGCATTACATTTTAGTACACTTATAAATTGATATGGAACTGGTTGTCAAAATTTGTAGATTCATGAGAGAGAGAGAGAGAGAGAGAGAGAGAGAGAGAGAGAGAGAGAATCTACAAATTAACCAGCCAAACTGTAAAGTTTACCTCAAAAATGTACTCTTGTAATTGGAAGTCAAAGAGACTATCTACATCTAGCATGCAGGTTGAAATTAATGGCTTATTTGCACATGGAGATGTTGTCTTAATGCATTCAAACATGAAAGGTCATATTATAAACAACAATTACTCAAATTTACCCAAATGTCTAGACCATCCACCCATACACACACAGTTACACTGACAACCGCATTGGTAAAAGTCTCGATTCCTCTTAACTCATATCCCATCCTGACTGATATCTAGAGCATTTTTCTACTGCCTTGCATAGTGCAGGAAGTAGAAAACCCAAAAAGTACACCAACATTAATAACTGTCTGCTATTGAAAATTTTTATCACTTTTACTCAGCAAACTTTTACAGGTAAAAGGAATTTTGTTATTTATGACGACCTTTAACTTATCCTTTCAATTTTTGACACATCAGTGCCTTTTGCTCAAACTTTTATTCACTAAAAAAGGAAATAAAGACAAAAAATACACAAAATGTACCAAACGCCCTCTTCAACATTGCCCTACCTGTGTACATAATTATAATAACAGTATCCTCCAGTGTAGACATGTTTCTGAGACCTAACCCCCCCAGCACCGCCTTGGCCACGATTCCACTTCACCCACTTGCGAATTCTTCTCCACCACTTCATGTCTATCTATAACGCAATCAATTGGTTTTCCCTATGGCGGCCATTTTATGCTGATTTATGTGCATGTGTATATCTGGATCCTAATAAGTGCACGATGTTATTTATAATCCCATGTAAACTATGGTGTAACCTCGTCTCATTTGGTGCCTGCTGTAATATCTTCTGAAAATGTTACATCTGCCAGAAAATCTGCAGGAAATGCTGAGGTTTGGCAGTTTCTGAGACATAATTGTTACATCAGTGGCTGGAAACACAGTCAAAGAATCTGTGTTAAAATACCTGGTGAGAAGGAGTTTTTTTTTCTGCAACTCTCACTAAATATTCAGCATTTAGAATACTCCAAATGAATCTAAATATGTCCTTTCCTAGCACCCGTACTATACAGTTATTGGATATTCAAATTTAATCATTCATAGGGAAAATACAGTTGTAGGAGTAGTGGTAAGTAATCCCAAATCAATACTCAAATTCACAGTCACTGAAACATCAGACTGAAAAAGGCTAGTAGCGGCCAAGTTCTGGAAGAGGTTCTGAGTCAGCAAAATCTTCCAGCTTATCATTAATTTACAATACAGAGTGCTCAATACAGCTTATTGTAGTAGCAGGAATCCAATGATGCCCCAATAGTTCAATATCTCCTTCTCCCTCCACATCAGGATTTCCTGCTATTAACTCCTACTGAAGAACCCAATTGATGAAGTGAATGTCTGCTTGTAAAGTATTCAATTAGCCCACTGAAGTGTTTGCCTGCTCGACTTCTGTCTCTTTACTCCTGACGAATTGTTGTAAATCACCCCAGTATGAAATGGTAAATCAATGTCCTGACTTCCAGGAGAAAATTTACAGTACACACACACACACATAGAAGAGTACATAGAGACTGCGTTCCCAGCTCTTTAGTCTTTCATGAATTATTACGACCTGCCCCAGATTAACTGCTGTAGAAATGTGTCGACAATACGGGAATGGCAATCCAATGGAATATGGTGGTCTTTAAGTCAAAAGCTGTCAGAGACAGATCTACCAGCAGGCTATTTCTCAGAGATAATTGTAAAATCAATGTCTGTCTGATGCTTTTTGTTAATAGATCAGCCTGACGGTAGAGGCTTGAATGCAAATGATCCTTTCCTTTTAAATTATTCTATCTATCTGATGAGTCTAGTGTTTTGGTAGGCTGTAGATTAAGTCTACATTTCATCTATTCTTCCCAGACAAAAAAGGGAAAAACAGAAGGCCAAAAGGGGAGGGGGGGGGGGGGGTTGAAGGAGCACCAAAGCTACCTTTTCACTTGATCTTTTTTCTTGGTAGTATTGTTCTAAAAACACTTGATAAACTCATGGGGATACGGGAGAGAGAGAGAGAGAGAGAGGGGGGGCACTAGGTCTTTCTCTTCACTGTGTATTTTTCTGATTGCGATTGTTCAGACGATTTCTGACCGTTCAATATAATCAAGAATTCTTAACATAATCCACATTCGAGGTAACACAGGATATAAATCCAGTCTAATTATTCTCTTATTATACAACCTGGTTTACTCATATACAGGTGGTTTGTCAGCCTCTGATCCATCTTGTTTCTAGCAATTCTGTTTCTGTTCTTCTGATTTGATGAATTCGAGACAATCACACTTTGTATAGGTTTCCTGCTGTGGTAATATAATTGGAGATTCAACCCGTTCCTTCATGACATAAAAATCAACCAGTTCTTGAAGCAACACAGCATATCAATGGACGTCTGTATTTATATGATCAGCCATAAACTAGTTAGGACAAAACTGCTGTTTTTTTCCCCTCTGTTTCCTCCACACATCCCTCACAACATGGACAAGAAAGATGCTAGTCTCAATGATATTCCATCTCCCTGTAAACTTCTTTAAGTTAATTGTACAATATGGCTGGTACTATACTGTACCGTTCAAGATTCTGCAACCAGAGTGTGTAGAAAAGGTCAAAAGCTCAAACCCTTCATGTGTATGATGTGCGTGTGTATTCCTTTGGTGTTGCTGTTGTCTGGATGAAAGAATGCGCCAGAACCAACTCCGTTTAATGGTCCAACCTCTTTCTGTATTGTACAACCCTAATATTTCCAGTTTCTAATTTCCTTTCATGTCACAGCAGTCTTTAAAATTCTTCTCCTGAATTTCAACTTCCTGTCAGTCCTTGTTTACAGTCCGAAGAATAACTACTGCTAAGCTTCTACCATAGTTTTTCACTCTCCTCACACTAGTATCTCTGATTAAATGTCACTTCTCTAGGATTAAATTGAATATCCATTCGAATCATGCTTCAGTTTCTACAGGCAGCCTTTGATTTGTTTCGGTTTGAATGCATGTCTGTTCCTTTATCCTCGTGAAAATTAATACTGGGTCTACTACTCTAATTTCTACAAAATAATGTTGCTGTAATTCTTAATGTTAGCAAAAGCTGTTTCTTCACACTGAAACTTTCTTTTTTTTAAACAACAGTCATATAATGTATACACTTATCAGAAAAGTATTCTTCTACACCTTTGTAAGGTAAAATAAATGTCCCTCTATCTCTCTGCCTCGAAAGTGAATGTCATTTCCAATGTAAACCTTGATCAGAAGACTGACGTTACATAAACTTCATTTGCCACAAAATGCCAGTTCTCAGTGTTCTCATTCAATCAAAACTATGGCACAGCATCGCTGATTAATTTCTTTCTCTTACGATTCAGCTTCTGATCTAATTAAGCAGAAATCTCCAAGCCCAATCTGTTAGGTTTAATTGCAAACTATCCTAGAGAGAATTGCAGTTGGAAAATTTCATCTCAAAGATAAATCATCCAATTAAGCCTGAACAGAACATCAATCCATTGTCGTCTCCCCTCCAGAATTAAAACCTCTGTGTTCTATATCCCGGGATCCAATTATTCTCCAGAAGGGCCATTGTAAAATGTATCATCCAATTTGTGCTGCTATCAAGGCTGGCATATCACCAGTAACCTCATTTCTAACATCCAAAGTAATTCCAATTCTAAATTTCCTTGACAAATTATCTAGAGTATCAACTTTTCTGCCCATGTATTTTCTCTCTCTCTCTTTTTTTGACTTCTGAATTTTTTAGGTGGAATACATCAACTTCAAGAAATGTCACTCTAAAACATGTTGCGCAGTGATTAAGGTCCGTCAAGCTTTGCTGTCAGCCAACTGAGTGTGTCCAGATCTCCGTCTGCTGTCCCACTACATACCCTCTCACCTTCCTGCCTGGCTGACTCTCCCACTGGGCATTAATTTTCTGAGAAATAATTACACTTTTAAGATGTATCACCCAGTCAGAACATCAATCAGGGCCTTGTCAAGCTTGTAGATTGCCTAATGAGGCAGGCAGTAATGAGGCGTCTGCACACACGTTAATAATTTCTCACAGATCTTTCAAGTATTGTAAATGTCTTCACTCTCTCAGTCAATTATTCATAATACTAGCCATGGAATGGAATTGAATGGTTTCCCTAGAAAAGGGTGACTCTTTTTCATTCGATCTGTTGGCTTTATTTTTTCTTCTTTCAAAAATTCTTCAAGTGTTTTTGAAAGTATACGATAACAATTAAGTAGTTGAATGTTCGTCAATGTATTTCCCATTCTGCATGGACTACCTGATCTTCCACAGTCCTCATCTCAAATGTCTCTTACAATATTTTCGCTGTACCACAAATAAATGCACCAACACCACAAACCATTTCAAAGCATATATTGATATGTTTTTGATGATATTTTAATGACTTTATTTGCTTCCCCATTCCTGTCTCCAATCTGTGGTAATTTTCTATGTTAAAAAAAAAAAAATTCCCATGGCAGACGAGAGTACAAGTGTTTTCCTGTCAGTTAGTTGCAATTGTCTGTGACCACAAATCCAGTACAAACCCACTTCTTCACAGGTCTCCTGTGTGTGTTCACTAAATCGGTTTTTGGTTTTCGACAGTCAACTTGCGGTCATTTATCATGCTGCGTTGATCAGGCCACTGAATGTCTTATTTCCCAGAACTAATTTCTTGGAAACTAAACCAGACGTCTCTGAGGGGAAATCTTGTCAAGAATCCATTAACGACACCACATATTTAGGCCGTCCCTCTTTCCATCTTTAGATGTGTCTTCTGTTGAAGTGTATTGATTTTTCAGTCCACTGCCAGTGTGCGTTTTCCACTTACTGGCTACTCACAACAACACCTTAAACTGCTTCTTGAACAGACCTAATAGGCGCTTAATTGATAATATATATAGAGAGAGTAATTAGATAGATACATGAACCTCTCTGTTCTTATATTATTTCTCCTTAATTAAACCAATTTCTCTGCTAGTTTCACCAAAGGAAAGAGTTGTTTGAACATTGCTTCTGTCTCAGTTACTTGTGTACTTAGTTAACTGAATTATGTCAATACAAGATGATAATATTGTCTTAATGGATTTTTAATGACATTTTGGTATTGGCATGTTACCTAATTTATTTACAAACCCCATTCTTTCCTTCTGTGGTCTAATCTTATATGTATAAGATGAGCTTTTAAAAGAATGTGAAATTTTTGCTTGTCTTCATAAAAAAATCACAAATTACCTATTTTTTGGAGCTTAAAATATTGATGAAACATGGCCTATATATTTTTTCATCATCTAAACTATATAAACAAACAGGTGGTGTGTCTGACACCCAACATATAAACTGAACCACAAAACTTCACATGGGGCAATATTTTTTCCAAAGAGCTATATTTATCCCTCACGTCTGACATAAACAGTACTTTTTATTAACTATGGGATGAACAGGCTGCATACAGATGAACCCCAAACCATGTTTACACAGGTACCTTTGGTACACCAAGTCTGGCACAACCCAAATTGCAATCAAGGCAATTGCTGTTCAGCATGTCAAGGAATATTCAATCAAGTGAACTGAGAAATTTAAACTAAAAAGGGCAGTTTATGGAAGGCATTCATAGCAATTTAGATATTCTTTTTTTTTTTTTTTTGGAGGGGGGGCGGCATTTTAAAGGCAAAATCACAACCGGTCAGTGTGTCAAATGGTGGTCTGAAAAGGGTCACAACTGAGTGCAGATACAGCAGACAACACATTAATCAGCATTCCTTGCTGTCACAGTATCAGCTGGTCCACTATCTTCAGTAAACATACACCCGATTTTTTATGACCTTGTGTAGCAAACATGTCTCTTAATTGAGGGTATTACTTTCCAATATTTCACTGAATGTATCATTTTTATCAACAACAAATGGGTTATCTTCTGAATGAATTGAGAATTCAATTATCCATAAAAGATGATCACTCTTTTTCTGTTATTTTAATTTTTTTAAAAATTTAATTAGCATTTTCACAATAGTCTTTTACATTTTTACCTGCTTTATTTCCTTAAAGCCTAACTTCTCCATTCATACTTTCCCTACTCATCATGAATTTCTTATCTCTGACATCTCTTCTATTACATCTTTTATAATTATCTTTCAGTTTAAGTGAATTATTTCAAGGTTTATAAAGACTTTAAATAACAACACCACACAGTCTATCTAAAAAAAAAAGTGCCACTTCCTTAATACCTGCTGAGCTCAAACAGAATATAGGAAGAAAAATGGGTACGTGTTAAGTATGACCCTCTGTAAGTATGATTATTCCTTTTTTTCTGAATTCAGTGATGTGGTAACTTTGATTTATATTTACTATTCAAGTAAATCAATTTTTGCAATTTACATTTTCCACATTTTCCACATTCACTAGTGAAATGACTTCATCTCTTTTTATACTTGAATGGGCTTGAAACTTCTTGTAAAATCATAAAAAAAAAAAAAAAAAATCTAAAGATGGCTGCTTGCTGAGACATATATTTACCTGCACATACTAATGGGCTGTAGGCAGAGGCTCATAAGTCTGTCAAAAACTCCCACAGAGAGCATCATTCAAATTCTAATAGTGCAAATCTCTCAGGTGTAATTAAATGAAAATGTTAATGTATATAGCCTTATAGGCTTACACATCTTTGAAAAAACCCCACATCCAAGGTGTTGAATTTTGCCTTTTCAGTATCAGCCAGTATAATCCAATTACTCCATAAAATACTTTTCTAATGGTATGGAACAAATGTGTTTAAAAAGGCAGACAGATATTTCAGAAAAAAAGTTAGAAGTTTGCAGTTTAACTCTAAAATTATCAATTTAAAATGGTAATTTTGAAAAAAAATCACGCTACATGAAGGTGTGGAAATTTCACCTGGGGATAACAAATTTGGTGTTCTCTTTTTTTCCCCATGTTAAGATTGATGGTAAGCTTCCGTAACTATCTGTCTTAAAAGGTGGCACAAACATACAAAATAGTGTCTACTTGATATTCTGCTCAACAAATCAAGTCTGTTCACAAGAGAACTACTTTGGACTGAAAATTGGGTGAAAAGTAAAGTCAGGTATTTACAGTTATGTGGTAGAGTGGGGTCTTCCCCATTTTCCACCCACGCATATATCTGTGTGAATCAAACAATCTAATTCCTAAAATATCCCCCGAGTATGGTAACTTTTCATTTTCATAATATAACATTATTTTTTCATCATTTTTCGCCAATTACTCTCTTACACAAATCTATAGCTTTTTCAAAACATCTGATTGTATCACCATTTTAAATCGTTTCTTTCAAATTCGTGGAATAACTACCGTAATCTTTAGGCCTAAAATCAGTCTGAAATGGTCTGTAGACACTGAAGTGTAATTTACTCCAGAAGTCCTCCAAAATAGTCAACCTGTTTACCTAACTGTCCTAATTGAATATGGATTTACTTTATCCTCAAGTATAAATATAACCAGACTTGTGGAAAGAAAGGGATTTCCCTGTGTAAACAATTACTTTGTATTATACCTTCTTTGTCACCTGAAAGAACTTGAGGCATTTTTTTGATTTTTTTTTTTTTGTCTGTATTTATCAGACGGCTCCCAGATCAGGCTTATATTTTATAAATGTATGCAAGATGACGTGCCAAAAATAAAAAAACATAAAAGAAAAATCTATTATTACATTTGTTCACGTGGACAATGTGCTGAGCTTGGGATGATATATATTTAATACATATTTATTAAAAAATCTTTTATCTAATAATTTTTGAAGGGAGTGAGATCTGTATACTGTTCTTCTTCTTCTTATTTTTTTTTGATCATTGGTTCAGAAAGCTGTTTAAAATTCTTAAGGTGACCACACCTTTAGCACCGGCCCTCCCCTTCCTACACACACACACACACACACATACACAAACACACACACACACAGGTCCTGCTATCTCTGAGTTGACACTGGCTTAAGTTACCATTGTAACAGGACTCTGCTTGCTCAGCAGACAGCTATTCAAAACTGGCACCTCTCTCTTTCTCTTGACAAATTTCTACTTTATTGGATGGATTTGCACAGTTATTGTACAACCCTTTTGTTGAGAGAGCTCCTGTATTACTAGCCTACTTCACATATCTCACAGCCTTTTTTTTTTTTTTTGGCATCTGCTGAGCCTAGAGCCCATACCTTAGTTTTTAAGTATATCTTGTAGATATTTGTGTTTTATAAGCGTGTGTAATGATATAATGTCTTTTTGGCAGACCAGTTGATGGTGGGAGAGGAAGGATTATTGCTAACAGATTTCAGATTACTCTCCTAGTTTTCAAACCAGCTGACTGTAGACACTCCTTCTCAACTGGTGCATGGATATCTTCAAAGAAAACCTTTTTCCTTTTAAAACGCTTTGCTCTATAATGAGAAGTAAAAAAGAATAAACAATAACACATGTCAGCTCCATAACAAAGGCTGATAACTTGGCTATGTAGCCATCAAACTGATTCTGTTTTTTGGCAGGTAACGAACGACTCTTCACAGAAAAAAAAATCAGCCACACTCAAAATCACCCTACCTTAATGGCAAGCCTGTGGATCCAGAGGGCCCAACTGCATAAGTTCCAGCTGCTCCATTCTGACAATTGCTATATCGAAAAGGGCTGTCATTCTGATAACGTGTGTTGTATACATTTTGTTTAACTGTTCCATTCACATGAGCTGTGTAATTTGGTGCAAGACTAGCACTGTCACTGCTTGAAGAGGCATAACTCGACCTCTGTCCTTCGCTGGACCAACTCGACCTTGACCTTTGACCTTCACTGGCCAGACTTGACCTTGACCTTTGGCCTTCACTTGCCAAGCTTGACCTTTGACCTTCCTTGTTCTTGGGGGTCTTTCTGTCCTCCATGGGTGTTGCTGGGAGAGGTCTATTGAGCATGGGATTTTTACCTTGCTGTTGAAAAAAAATAATAAATAAAAATTAGCCAATAGCAAAAGATTCACAAAATAACCCATTTAGATGAGGATACATCAATGCATGTCAATGCTGAAGTGTCAACAGAAATAATAATATATTAAATAATAATAAAAATATCTGAATAAGAAATCTGAAGTTGAGATACCTATGAGTAAAACTCTGAAAATATGAAATTCACTAAATAATAAAAATTATAATAACAACAATAGCAACAATAATAAATTAATTCATACAAAAAAATAAGCTGCAAGTATCACCTACTGAAATCACTCTACAGGAGAAATGTCCCTGAATTCAAATCACGACCTACAACCATTCTATGTGCCTATATGTAAGTTAACGTGTACAACCATGTACATCCCTATATTTCACTAGGTGCTAATTTCACCTTGACAATTCACAGAAGATATTCTTTTGTCCCCAATACGAGTCATCAGCTTGTACAATGTGACCTTACAAACTTATTACAGACTCTCAAAGCAGACAAACGCTGAAATCCACTGTTCCATGCATGCTACGACAACATCAAAAGTTTGTAATATTTCTGAAGACAGCACAATCAGTCCTTTATATCTCTCGGGTACTGATATCTGCTCATGACAAATTACCTTGTTTTGTAGTTGTCTTTTTTTCCTTTTCTAAAGAGACAAAGGTCACGGGCTAACTGATGTTACTCTGCTAACATTTCACAATAAAAGTCAGAGTTAAATGAAAACACTTCCTCCTTATTTTTCATCTTGTTTTCAGAAAATCTAAAAGTGGAGGAACATCTGAAGTCTTGGACCTGTTCACATACTCAAAATAGAGTTTGTTCTGCAGCATTCAGTTGTAAGTAAAAATACTTTAGCACCAGCACTGTGGGAGAATAGTTCAGAATCAACCGGATCAGACTGGACAAAGGAAAAAATAAACACAAAGTCACATGGGAAATCAGATTATGAAGAGCACCCCCCCCCCCCGCCCCTTATTTTCAAAATTATAGGAGAGACTAGATCAAGAAGAACACAAGGCACCTGGCTAGCAAAAATAAAATGGAAAAACGTGTGAACTGAGCCTTGACAACCAAATTTCAAGAGCTCCTCTGCAGCACAATCTCAACGGTCAGTTATACAACACATGCCACTGTAAGGAATCAAACAATATTGAAATGTCAAGTCATTTGTCACTGTGTAACACTGCCAGCTATTGATGGAGGGGTTTAATTAGTTCTTCCCAGCTGGCCAGTGACTGAGAGGTTTAATTAATTCTCCAGGTGGAACAGGCAATATCTAGGAACCGAGTTAACAACTTGAAGATACAATGATGCACTTTACTTGGTGTGTTCACACCAGACAAACTCAGACCGAAATCTGGTCTAACTGGTGTCACCGGATAACCAGGCTGCTGAAAATGAGAATTAGCAATCTTAGGGGCTTCTTTGAGAGCTGGCCATCCAGTGATGGTCTTGATTTCAAAGAAACCCCTTAGAGTGCTAAGGGGTTTCTTTGAGAGCTGGCCATCTAGTGATGGTCTTGATTTCCTGACTTAATTAGATCCATTGTGAACCTGCCTTTAGATTTAAGTTAATTCTTAACACAATTCATATAAAAAATTTGAATGATTCAGACAGGCTCTAAACTGACTCAGTTGTCAAGTTATTTAGTGACAACATTTAGATATAAATTGGTCCAGTTGTATCTTTGTCTGACAGCACCTTAATTAAACGCATCCCTGACAACATATGAGTGAAACAGACCTTATACCATATCATTATGTCTTTAAAAAAATGGAAAAGAATTTGAACAAATGTAACAACTCATAATAACATGCCATAATAAAACAAATTTACTCTTACCAGCTTCAAATGTCCAATGATATTATGGAAAAAATTCCCTTGAACATACGATACCACACCTGACAGTCATCCCAACAACACGAAACCATGAAAGGCATGCACTTCAGAAATATCCCCTCTGCCAGAGGAATGCCAATTTATATGTCGAGTAACAAAATAGTCAAACAATATCACTCTCCTAAATTTTGTAACAAAATCAGAGTGGCATCCAACCTCTCTTCTTACACATGCTTTTTCTTTTGTTTAATGAAATTCTGTTCTTATTGCTACAGCTTGTATTAAGATTTACAATTACACCTAACCTACTTTTTAACCTGTCTTGTACAAGACCTATGTAATGACCATTACACTGTTTCTTCCTCTCTTCTGATTTTCTAAGCTCTCCCAAATGAAGACAACTCACTGACACCAAAATGCAAAAACAATAATAATTAATTAATTAACCTCTTTTCCACAATTTATCACCGACACTGTAAAAAAACACCAAAAAAAAAAAAAAAGTTACAAAGCTGAAGTAAAAAACATAATATTAGTAATGAAAAAATTTAAAAAATACTGAAAAGTAATCTCAGCCTTTCAAATATTTACCAACCTGCAAATTATCAGATTCCTCAGTGACGACTGATGTTATACAAGAGCCCAGCATCTCCATGCCAACTCCATAATCACCATCAGCAGAGAAATCAAATTATGTTCCCATTACCATGAATCTACCACCCGCCTTCTTACCAAAAGACGTCATCTCGGAAACAAATTTGCCTGTAATACCTACGTCGAAGAAGCCGTAAGACACACAGTTATATCTCGCCTCCCGACTCCCAAGGTGAGTGGCAACATTCTTATTACCCACGGCAACAAACATCTGCAGTCACATCAAACTGAGCTTTTAAGGAGTCCTTTGATGCCCAACACCACACAAATTTTCTTTTGTGTAACAATGCCGTGATCTTCAAACTTATCGTCTTCACCAAAGTCATTAATGAAAGAAACAAATGATCCAATTTCCTGCAGTATATAACCTTCCTTGTGAAAGAACACGCAGGTTGTAATGCCTCCCCATCATCCTATCTTCCTACCTATTTATTTATTCTTTTCATTTCCCTCTTTTCTCATTTATTTGTCTACAAGGTGTCTGCATCACATCACATGTGAGCTGGCAGTCACAACACTCAGAAATGATTAGAAATGATTTTCAAAATAAACAAATCAAAAAATATTCCCATTTTGTTCACAGTGGAACCTGTTTCACACGGCAAGGTATTAATACCCTCAGCAGTTTCAACCTGATGATGAAATATGTCCATACCGTATGTTTTGGGAAGTACTGCTTCTCAAAAGAAAAATGGTGCACACATAAGAAGCATCTGTTCCTTATGTCGAGTTTACTAATATCTATTTACCTATCTATCCTTCTGACCTCTTCAGTGCAACCTTCTCAATAATATGATATAGTATAAGGTCTTTTCAAAGTTAATTAGTATAATAAATAATTCAATACATACCTCCAGTTCTAATGTTGTAATTCTGCAAAATTTATCCTTAAGCATCTTAAATTATTTCTTGGATACCCTCAGTTTTAAATCCTTATTTTTTTAAAATCCTAATTAAAGCTTGGTAATAAAACCTACTGAATATTTTTCAAATTAGCTTCTGTAATCAGGGATCCATTTCACAAAAGAAATTTAGGTGGAATTTTGGTCTAAAATATTAGAACAAAATTTTATTTTACTTAAGCTCTGGATAAACTGGCAGTAGACGAATAGAAAAATGTAACTGTTAGTCTCAAACAGAAGCCATCCTTTTCTTGCTATAGAACAATATTTCATTTAAATGGGTTCCTACTTTTCATCCTGGCTCAAAATAGCTCAAAAGTTTTGGTCTTAAAGTAAAAAAACAACATTTGGTCTAAAACTCTGTGTAAAACAGGCCCCAGTATTAATGAGTCAATTTCCAGGCTACACCTGTAAAGGTAACACATTCATTGCATGACTGAGGTACAGATTGGAATTCCCACCATACCTGTAAACAACTACACCTCAACCTTGCAGCAAACACCCAAATTCAAACCTTTAACTATCATTCCCTGTTCAAACAGGACCCATTCTTCTCCGATATCAACTATTTACATTAAAATTATATGACCTAAGACTGAGCTGTCTCCACTTTAAAAACTAAATTCAACTTTTACCTTTTAAATTTGCTTCAATCCTGTATCCCTTAGTTTTGTATTCTTTGATCCTGAACTCCATCAGAATGGAAGTTTGGTTCAAACACTTTCAAGATTTGTCTCTAATTCAGATGTCTAAGGTATAATCAGGAATACCTCTAAGTACTGTATCTTGTGAATGATGTAAAACTCAAACAGCAGTTCTCACTATACCCCTGTTAATATATCACACGGTCTTCTTCCCACACGCTAACCAACTGATAAGACCTGGATGTTCTCCTCGAGAGACATTACAGTAATTACTTCAAGTTTTCAAACACCTCTCTTTTTCTTCATCACGATTTATCACGTTACAAGCACTTGCAACCATTTACTTTCTGATGCTCAGCCAAATAACTTTCCAAAACTTTTGAACCAATTTTTTTTTAGTATAACTAACAAGACATTTTGGAGAGGAAAATTATCCACGTTGTTTGAATTCATGGACTAACTACCGTAGTCTCCCTAGCCGTCCTGAACCTCCACCAGACATGAGCAAACATGGGCCACCGTGTGTGCACTATCACGTTATCGTAACTTACACAAACAAGTGCTGATCCCCCATAATGTCCCAATCAACCCATTTCAAAGGATTCCTCAGTTGCTGGATTAAAGGAATTGACGAGATAAATGCAACTTTCTAAAGGACACTTTGATTTTACAAGCACACTGTGATAAGGAGGGGGAAAAAGGAAAGTTTTTGGTCATGGCAACTTGGCTCACTCTACAAATCAAAACAAAGGGAGAATACAAATGACCACCAAACAGTTATTTTTACCAATTTGAGCTACATTTCAGTCCCAACCCCAAAAGCTGATTTTTTAAAATAGTACCATCCAATCAGAATGATACAGGAATCATAATTAATATCAAATATTTAAATTAATTTGACTAAAATCTCCAGCAGCTGGTCACACACGCTGCGCAGCGGTAACG